CTGAAAATTCAAAGAGATTTATAGTAAAGAATAGGAGAGTCGGGCTACCTACAGAAATGTTCACACAAGCGGTTGATCACCCCGCCATTTTAATGTCTAAGCAAACCCTGAATTTCCTGTCCATTTTTACTTAGTCAGTCTAATGAAAATCAATGAAATGCCATGAGGTCGTCTTCTTATAGCTTCAGACATGAGGAAATAGAGTGTAGCAAAAAGAACAGTGGGTCAAAAATGAGAGAGAGAGATAATGGATAACCAAAAACCAAAAAAGTATACAAAGATCAGCAGCAACAACAAAATCACAAACCTAGAGTTATCACAAAGTAAGGCAAAATAAAGAAAATGAGAACTACAAGTGATTTGAAGTTTAAGATGCTATTCAAAAGGTAATACTGTAAATTTGAAAAATCAAATGGGTTAGCTCCAAATGAGTAATGAAAGCCTATGGGGTCAGTGATGACAGACACTGAGTCTAACACTTAATCATTTGTGGTGTTAATGCTGAGTATAAAATTTTCAGGGTCAATTCCTGAATCAGAGTATATAAAAGCTGATTAAAAAATCATTATGCTCTTACTTCCATTTGCCTATTAAGCATAAGGGACCCAATCATATATAAAGAGTATTTATGATTACCTGTGTTCTGAGATAATAATAATAAAAAAGATCATCTTTGTTTTTAAACAGTCAAGAGAATCAAGTTGTCCTGATTTTGTGTAAGAAGCTGCTTAAAAATCAGTTCCCTTCACCCCCCTGCTTTCATTCTCCAAGGAATTGAAATTATTAAAATTATGTGGGATCTGCCAACTTTCAACCTAGCCAAAAGAGAGAAATGTTAGTCTTAAAAATACTTAAAAAGCATATGTTAGCTCTAGATTCTGGTATTTTTGTACGAAAACTGAGAGCTCGGTAAGTTTAAGAGTCTTATTTAAAACCAACTACACAACAGTATGCAGAGCTATTTCCCTGGCAAGGCTTAACTTTGGAAAGGGCACTTCCTAGCTAAAGGGTAAAGATTCAGATTTAGGCTTATCAATTTATGACCATACTACATTTGCAATGCACTCACTCAATGGAGAAGAAAGAGGCATTCAGGCTTAAGACAACCTCATTCAATACTCAGCTTAAACTGCATTTAAAAAAAAAAAAAAAGGTGGGAAAGAGGAAACTAGGGATTGGGGTGCTGTACACATCTGTGCAAATGGCTGGAACTCAGTTGGAAAGACATATTATTCCTGGACTGCAATGCCTGCCCCCTGGCAAAGTTAATGGTGTTAATTTGTAAAAGTTCACTTGGGAAATGTTTGTGATTAATGCTTGCTCATTTACATAACACTGTACTGTGTAAATAAAGCTGCAGCCTTTTGCTTTCCAACAGTGGAGTTCTACTGAAACGATAAAAGCTGGAGAAAAGAGGCTACAGGACACTTAAACTAGGTCACATTGCATTTTAATGCGTGAGCCTGCCCTGGTACATTTTATATGGATAATGGAGAGCTGCAATATGCCGTCTGTTTACTGTGCAAATCTGCCTTCCAGATTTTTCAATAAACATAGTTTCTACACTGAAGAGTGAAGCCAATTCAGTCTCAGGATGATTTAGAAATGTTATTAAAGAAAATAAAGATGAGCATCTTCTTAATTCTTACACTAAAATGTAAATAGGATAATTACAAAATAATAAACTCTCCCTCAAATAAAAAAATGCTCAGTTTCAGAGCTCGGTTATGCAGATTATAGCACCATTACTAAACACTGAGAACACGTATATGTCAAACTTGTGAATTTGCCATCCAGATTTTGTGGCTTTACTGCCGAGAGTCTACGCACGACTCATGAATTTAATTTCTTTCTCCATTATCAACGGAGCTTTTGAGCAGTGACAAGGAAGCTGGTGGTCACATGCTCATGTGTGCACATTTGTCCATGTCCCTACAAGTAAATACAAAGAAAATGGCTGACATCAAGTGGAGCTCAAGTCAAAGGGAGCCTACTCCCAGAGTTCTTCTAAAAATCCCACTGCTGTGGAGTTAATTCCATCTCATGACCCTATAGGACAGAGTAGAACTGCCTCACAGGGTTTCCAAGGAGTGGCTGGTGGATTCGAACTGCCAACCTTTTGGTTAGCAGCCAAATGCTTAACCACTACACCACCAGGGCTCCAGAATTCTTTTAGGTAGTAGAAAAAGATTCTCATTGCTCCCTCCTCCTACCACATTACCCAAATAAAAAAGCAGAATTCTTAGTCATCCTTTCTGGATCTTAGCTGTTCCATCTGTAAGATGGAGGTGTTAATATACTCTGTTCCAACAGAGATGCCATGAAAATTATTTTTAATCACAGAGCTGAAATGGTTCTCCCAAAGATCATGTAGTTCATTTTAGGTCATGTTATAGATGAGGAAACTGAGGCTCACAGTGGTGAAGTGATTTACCAAGCTCAGAATCAGAATCTAAATCCTTGTTCAAGGGCTCTCAATCCAATGTTTTATACCATGCTGCCTCTTTATGGATGGAATACTAAAAATACAGAGCAACAGACCTGGATCATATTCTGAGAGGATCTATGGAAGGACAAACTTTGGATATTTTCCTTCTCACTAATTTTTTTTTTTTTTGCAATTTTACTTTTCAGTCTGTTTACATGTATTATGAGATGTTTTCAACATCTGGCACTGCTGTGGTGAGAATGCTAGTGTTAAGATGGAGTATGTTTTCAGGTGGGCCTTTATAAGTGGTCAGTTAAGTAGTCAGTCTTTTCATTTTATATTCATAAAGCTATAGAAGCTTTAATTTCTCCACTTAACTGCAGAAATTTGGATAATTGTGTAAAATTATTAAATATACTTGAATCTATTTCTATATTATTTTGTCTATTATAAAAGTTCTTTAATTATTGTAGCTTAAATCTAGTTCTAATATTATACCTTAATATATCAAGTAGTTAAGTCTCTATCATTAGTCTTCAATTTCCAAATATTTCTCAGATCATATCACATTGTTTTTTCATCAGGTTTACTAAGGTATACTTTATACACAGCAAACAGTCCCCTTTTATGAGTTTTGGCAAGCATAGACAGTTGTGTAACTATCACCATAATCAAGATATAGAATATTTCCATCATTCCCAAAAGTTTCCTCATGCCCCTTTGTAGTTAATTCCCTAACCCCACCCCAGACCTTGTTAAACGCTAATGTGATTTCTGTCCCTATTGTTTTGTCTTTTCCAGAAAGCTGTATAAGTGAAATCATACAGTATATAGTCTTCGTGTCCAGCTTCTTTCATTTAGCACACTGCTTTTGAGGTTCATCCATGTGGCAGCATGTATCAGCACTTTATTACTTTTATTGTTGAGTGGTATTCATTACCTTTTTATTGTTGAGTAGTGTTCATTGTATGGTTGTACCACAGTTTGTTTATCCATTCACCAGATAATGTACATTTGGGTCATTTTCAGTTCCGGGCACATATGAATAAAACTACTATAAACAGCACATATGTATGAAGATATGCTTTCATTTCTCTTTGATAAATACCTAGAAGTGGGATTATTGGGTCATATGGGAAATATATATATAACTTTATGACATTTCTCATAAATAACAGCCAAACTGTTTTCCCGAGGGGCTGCACCATGTTACACTCCTACTAGCAATGTAGGAAAGTTCCAATTACTCCTCTCCTTGCCATTTGGTATTACCAATTTGTTTAATTTTCACCATTCTAATACATGCAGTAGCATCTCATTGTGGTTGTAATTTGCATTTAATTTGCAACGGACCATTGGTTGATGTGTCTATTTTTTCACCAATACCAGAGTCTTGATTACTGTTGGTTTTATAGTTAAGTATTGAAATCAGAAATGTGAGCCCTCCATCTTTGTTCTTTCTTAAAAAGATGTTTGGCCATTAAAGACTTGGCTTTTCTATATGTATTTAAGAATCATCTTGTCAATCTCTACAAAAAATCTGGCTGGGATTTTGACTGGGATTGCACTGGGTCTATGGTTCAATTTGGGGAGAAATGACATCTTGACAATACTGAGACTTTCAAAGAATGAACACTGAATGTATCTCTGTTTGTTTAGGTACCTTTTAATTCTTGAATATGGACTTAAGAAATATTTTATTAGAAAAAAAATTTTTTCCCCTTGGGCTTTTAATTGAAATTACATTAATACAAATTTGTAAATTCATGATGAACATATCTCCTGTTTTTCAATGACTATAAATTTTATTACGTTTCCAATGTAGAGCTATTTCAGCATTCCCAAAAAACATTTATACTGTGAAGTGCTGTTTGGAAAATGGCTTCTGAGGTTGAGTAACTCAGGATATATAACATACTACATGCAGCCTTTAGATTTGTATTGGTCACTGGCCTTATTTTGTCATTGAGTATCACAAATACTGTAATGTTGATTATTTTGCTTTCTTATTATTTTATTTATAGATTAAAAAAATCTTTTTTCATAAAATATATTGTTAACTTTTCAGCAGGATGGTTATGCTGGTCAGAGAAAATAATTTGTATACTTTTCCCTCTTCTTTTCCATGTTCTGGGAAAATAAACAGTATATAGTATATTATTTGCTAAGGTATTTAACAAGATTTGGCATATATATGAAATGTGCCATTTGATATCAAGAGTAATAACAATGGCTTTTTTCACTGTTCATTGCATTTTTAAACATTTTAAAATATTTTCTGCTATTCAAGTATTTTTGACAAGTAAATATATTTGGTATGATTGAGGGTAAAATGGTAGGTATGAGTTATTACATTGAGAAATGCTTTAATTTTTATATTAGCCATCTACTCTATTGGCCAAGTTTCTAGCATTGAGCTCCAGTCCCTTGGAAGTCTGGCACACTGAAACAAGTGGGCCACCAATAGGAGTGACTGCTAGGAAGTATGTAAATATGAAGAGATGCACATATTCAGATCAATCAGACTTTCAGCTTGACAAACTACAGAGAGCAATGAAAAGGAAATACTCACATCCGAGTTAAAGCGAAGCTGACAGACATTACAAGAAATAACTTGTTTCTTCTTTGGGGGAATAGACACTCCAAATGTGTGGTTTATGACTGCTTTTTGCACAGGATCCATCTGAGGAGCAAATGACAAAATAGTCAATTTATAACTTTAAAGCATACACAATAGTGTTAGCAAGTAAAAGCAGCTATATTATTCCTTATGGTTTTATCTTTAGTTCCCAATCGATGAAAATAATGAATCTCACTCAATAGTAATGTGCTTGTTTTGTTGCCAGGAATTAAAAACAAAAGATAAGAAAAACAAAACAAAACAAATGGTCAGAAATCATAAAACAAAACAAAACAAATACAGGAGAATCACCACTTCAAAGAGATCTTATATCTATATAAATCCAAAACCAAACCCGTTGCTGTCAAGTTGATTTCAACTCATAGTGACCCTATAGGACAGAGTGAAACTGTCCCATAGGGTTTCCAGGGAGTGGCTGATGGATTCAAACTGCTGACCTTTTGGTTAGCAGCCGAGTTCTTAACCACTGCACCACCTGAGTTCCATATCTATATAAGGAGCCTTAAAAAACCTTAAAAGAATCATAAAACAAGAATATTCAAGATCCAGGTTTAAAATTAACTTGCTAATATTTTCCCCATATAAGGTGATAATACTTAAAAGATGGTCTCAAATGATCTCTCAATAACAATTATTACAGATTTAAAAACATATTTACGCTTCTTAATTTCTGATTTATGGCAGTCATAAATGACAGGCTTATATATCACAACACACAAAATGTTACTCTTTATTTTAAAATAATTTATCTTTCATGTACTATAGATTGAAATTGATTCTACTGGAAATGCAGGTCAGAATTGTACACTCAAATGCCCATAGCAGATTGGTTAATATGCATCCCTGGTTTAAATATTAATCAAGTAAAGTTTTGACTTGTAACCTGTGATATTTCCCCCATTGGTTTGCATGTATCACTCATATTCATGAAAGCACTCAACCATAAAAAAAGCATGGCACAAAGCCATTAAAATGCTTGGAAGAAAAAAGACTTCTATCCGCAAAGCCTGAAAACAGAGAGACACAGCAGTGATTCTCTTGTGTACTCCAAATAATCTCCAGCATTAGCGTTAGACAACTGGCAATTCAAAAAACAATGTAGATGATGAACAAAGTGTTACTTATAAACAGATGTCACATGAACAAGGACAGATTCACAACACCATTGTCTAGGAAATAGCCCGAGGTAAGAGTTTAGAATTGGATTAGTTGATGAAGTTATACAGGGATGAGAAATGAATACCATTCCTGATCATGATTATAGGTCAACAACGTGCAAAATTAGAACTTAAAAACATTAGAAAGGAGGGTGGATTTCAGAATTACCAATAGTAAGGTAGCTTATATTCTGACTATACAGAACAGTTATGGTTGTTTGGGACACTTATAACAGGAATGAAAAAAAATGCTAAGAGGGGACTTTTCTAGAGTCATAGAACTGTTCTATATCCTTATTGTAGTGGTGGTTACACAAATTATACATACCCCATAAAAGTCAATTTTATGTATGATAATTTAAAAAGTAAAAAAGTATTGTAAGAGTATTATGCTTAACTACTAAACATAAAATATCATTACTGGAAAATCTGGGGATTCTTTATGTTCAAGGCCATTAATTGATTGTATTAAATTTTATTAAACGAGAATAAAGAAAAACCTCTCCTTGGGGCAAAGGAAATCTCAAAGGGTCAGACTGTAAAACTTCAGTTACTTCTTTATTTTACTCACAAGTGCATACACTTAGATGGCATCTATCCATTTTGAAAACATAAAACTGTATTTCCTGATAATTAAGAGAGATGATGGCAAGTCAATTTGGATAGTCTTAAAAATAAAATAGCCTAACTATGTTGACAGGATGAAAGAGCTACATTGTTCTGCAAAGTTAAAAAACAAGGGAATTTTATTGAGATATTTTCTGTTCTCAGGCTCTGAAAAATACTTTACATCTGGTAATGTGTGAACTACTTTGGCTAAAATTATATAAATATTTCCTAAACAGCAGTTTTCTGTGTACCTCTTTTTTTTTTTGTCATTTCCATATACTACTGTATTATTATAATTAATATTTCTTCTTTAAATCAAATTAAAATTGACTTCTTAAAAACTTCAGCAATAACATTCATTAAATCAGTTTTAAAGTACTACGTACTTTCTTTCCTATTACTCATTTCAATAGATACATTGAAAATTAACACTAAAAATGAAAACTTACATCACCTAAAATAAATGCACATATTCTAGTTATTTCCATACCACCATGTGGAAACATTGAGACAAAAGATAAATCTGACAAAAATCTAGTTCCAAATTTTTAGTAAACCAAGATACTTGTTGACAGTCCCAACACCACCCTCGAATATAAACATCCCTTAAAATTTTTGAAATCATTCGGTGCCTACATAATTTTTCAAATGATTCTTCATCCAGCTTTATTTGGCTCAAATGTCACATTTGCACCACATCAGCCTGAAAATAAACCATCCGTGCTCCCAAGGCTGAGAGCTCTCCAAAGTAAAGGCAGGCCAGTTCCCAGCCATCCCTCTCTGAATGCAAAGTAAAAGATGTTCCTGTAGAACTCTCACACGCATTGGCTTTTCTAGTTTATATTTTAACCCTAATGGTCCCCATAAAATCAACTAAACCAGCACAGCCCTCTTAGTCTTCCCTTGTCACCTGCCATTAACTCCTGCTGCCTTTCTATCCTTTGATCTATTCACCACTAATCATATTAAAAGTTTCTCTCTCATGTTTTTTACTTGGAAAAGATTTTCATCATTTTCCACCTGATTCTCTATTTCCTTATAGACATTCTGGGAAGAGATCCACTTTTTTTTTTCCTGTCTAGATCTCTTCTATCTTCCTCTGCTGTTTATCATGGCATTCCATGATTATATTTCTTATTCAAATATCATTTGGGGGACATAATATAGTTGAAAGAAGATTTTAATGATATGAAAAAGAATGTTCCATTTGCCAATTCATTTGATACCTTGAAACAGACACTGTTTAGCTGATGTTTTGAGTAACTGTCATCTGACGCAATAACGACAAATACCTGAGTCATTTCAGTGGGCTACAGATTGGGCAGTAACATGGAGAAGGTTGTCAAATAGCTATATATTTATATATTTAAGTAGAAAGTGATAAAATCCTGAATTTTTGTTTCAGCTTTCCTACAATACTCTTAAGAACTAAATAAAAATAACAACCGTAATGTTAATTTACATTAGGTTTAATTCTTTTCCTCCACAAATGCAATATCAGTTCTCTGTAATCATAATGAGATATGTTTAACTAAATCAATGGTAATTCTTTTATTCAATCACCAGTTTTCAGGATGAATGAAACATTCAGTATGAATAAAAATATTCTCATAAATTCTAAAATGCGATAAATGCAAGTGATTCAATTTAGTATCATAAAAATAGGTATCTGTATCATAATTTCATATATAGAATACTCAGGTAAATAAGTAGAGATATTGCAAGCACACCAGAAATTCTCATTTTCAGAGATTCAACTGGCATTTCCCAGACATTTGACTGTTAAAAATAAATAAGTGCTTTAAAACATCTTCATGAAAATGTGTACATTATATAACTTTTAAATGAAAAAAATGCCTTATTACACAGTCATATAAAATTAGCTCATGTTAGTTCACATTGCACAAGAAAGCTCTCTGTGGATTGAGAAAATTATGACTCATTGGTAGATAATATTACAACTCACAGAAGGTTTTTTTTTTTTAATGGGAAAAGGAAAAAAAAAACTACCACGCAGCTTTAGCTACCAACATACCTTACCTGGCAGAATTTATTGGTCCCAAATAAGCCTCTTCTTTTCTAAAAAAGTAAAAGTTAGAAGTAGTCATCTGGAATTTTGAGTCTAGTAAGCACATTTATACAAAACATAAAAAAATTCATTTTCTTTGCTCATCTCTGATTAAAAACCTTAAAATGCTTACTAACTAAAAAGCAGCAAGAGTTAACACTTGCCACTTTCTCTAATAAAAATTATGTAGAAATGAAAAGCAAACCTATTAGTGCAATTAACCGGTAGGTAATAAAAATGAAAGATGGGGTTGTGGCTGTTACCAGGAATTGAGGAGGTAATTGGAGGCTACATATGGACAAATTAACTATTATATTATAGTACTGATAAAATGAGTTAATGAAGCTGACCCTATCACACCATCTATTATATTTTCAATATAAAAATAAGAACAAACAGATCTCTTTGGTGTATTCACCAAAATTATGGGAACTACAAATCTGTGTGAATTTGTTTAAAGATCATTGCTTTCAGTGAGTATACAAAAAAGTAATTTACATCTGCACAGTGTAAGCAATCATATAAAAATATGCAGCTGCGAATAAAACCTAGCCACAGGGAAAAGAAACATACTGCATCCCTTCACTAAAGGCAGGATGAATGCTATCAGACAGGAGAGTATCTAAGATATATGAACTCGACGGCAGTGGGTTTGGTTTTTAGTATGTTTTAGATGCTGTCCTGGGCTATATGGGTAGATGAATCAACCACAAGAAAGTACATAGTTTTAGAGGTTAAAAAAAAGTAAAAATGATAGTACACACTATTTAACTGGAGGCTCAGAAAAGAAACATCCATTAAGCAAAGTAATGAGGTATGAGAAGGCATGTAAAGGTCCATCTCCTTTTCTCTACCCCCTACACTTTGGTCCTTTTCCCCTTTTTCTGATTTTTCTCACACTTTAAGCTTCAGGGTCCTCTCTTTAACAGCGACATCAGTGTGCTATCCTCCTAGGGGCACTGGCTTTTAAATTCCTTTTTCTAGCTTTTTAATAACACCAACGAACATCATAATAATAGCTTAGATTTACAAAGCTCTTACTATGTATGGGCCAGAACTGTATTAAGGGATTATCTTGTGGAGTCTCCACCATCACATGTGTCAGATACTATAATTATCCTCCTTTACAGATGAAGAATCCAAGGCTTTGAGAGGTTCAAAAACTTGTCACCTCGAGTCCGTGGGTGCTGGAGCCAGAGTTTAAACTC